TGGGCATCATCGTCATTGTTCAAAACTGCATGTAGAGCCCTTGATTCCTCTTCTTGATCCCATGCAGTAAAGAAACCACATTGCTTGCAGGGTATCCTACAAAGGGCATCAGCATTTTGGCGTTGCGCTCCTGTTCAATCAATATATCTTATGTACTCAATACTTCTAGCCATCTCGCTAGTTGACCCTTTGGGTTCTTGAATCTCAAAAACCACTTTAGGGAAGCATGGTCCGTTCTAATACGAAATTTTCGTCCCTGAAGGAAATGTCTGAAAACTTTTACAAAATGAACAACTGCAAGGAGCTCCTTCCTAGTGATACAGTGGCTTCTTTCACTCTTGGACAGGGTACGGCTAGTCTAAGCAATGACTTTCTCAAGACCTTCTTGTTCCTGAGAAAGTATAGCCCCAATAGCATCTCTGCTAGCAACCCTGTCCAGGATAAAGTCTTAGGTGAAGTCGGGGTGTCCTACCACTGGGGTAGTTATAAGTTTTTGTGTCAACAGGTCAAAAACATTCTGGCAATCATCGTTCCAGACAAATTGTCTTCCTTTTTCAGTCAACCTATGTAGGCACTTTGCAATCGTTGCGAAATCCTTTATGAACTTTCTAGAAAACCAGCTGTATCCGGACAGTTGTTCTAAGAATTCATCAATCCTGGGTAAGGGATAGGCATCTTTAACTGTACAAGCATTAAGAATTCTGTAGTCTACATAGAATCGGAAAGTATTATCCTTCTTTATCACTAGTACAATTGGGGAGGCCCATAGACTTGAAGAGGGTTCTATAATATTGCCTCTAGCATCTCATCAATATTCTTTTCAATTTCTTTGGACAAGTGTGCAGGAGAACGGCGAACGGTTTGTTTTATAGGTCTCGCTTCCCCAGTGTCTATCCTGTGTTTGACAATATTTGTTTTGTCATCATTATTACTCTTTGCAAACAGCGATTTGTACTTCAAAAGAAAAGATTTTCTTCCTTAGCTTGTTTCTTTGTAAGATGCTTTTTAGATTCTTGATACAGATTTTCTATATCGGGCCGCTCTGCTGGTTCACCGGCAAAGTTTGAGGTCACCTGTTCCGTTTCTTGAAATGTTCCAATCTCTGTGTTCTTGTACACCACCTTTGGTTCAGTCTCCACGTTCAACAGTCTCACTGGCACAATATTATTCTTCATTGGTTGAACACAGGATCTAGCAGTCAAGGGCCTATTAGTATCTTCTTTTTCTTTAGGTTCTAGAATGCCCTGGATCTGTAGATGCTCCTCGTCAGAAGTACATATTTTCCCTGGTATAATAAGTTCATTCTGGGGTGATATGCTGACCGTTTTTTCTGCTACAACTCTATAGCATCCAATTTTTCGTTCATACACAAGAGGGATACTTTCGTCCTGATGTAACAAAAACGTATCGTTTTGCATCTACTGTAAATCACTTTTTATTCGCGAGAACTTTATTTTCGCGTAATTACGCGAGACAATGCATTCGCGAAAATTAAATTCTCGCGTATAAAAGTATTCCTTACGATAATATAGAGGAAAAACAACTAATCGGGAAAATTATGTCTCGCTTACAAAGAGTCAATCACAATCTCGCGAAAATAAGGTGTCGCGAAAAATTAGTGATCTACAGTATTATCATATATCAAAATGTCTGATCAAGTTCTTATCCCAGAATACCTTCTACCTGAAGATCAGCTACCAAGGCCAAAGTATTAATAGGATATTTACCAATTGCCATCTCGATATTGACTTTACCTTCCAACTTCAATGCATCACCGTAGCTGTGTAAACTTTCATTACAGGTTCTTGGATTTCAACTGACAAACGGTCTTTCACCCTGTCTAATAAAGATGTTGACAGCATTGTAGCCGTAGCCCCTATGTCTACTAACAACTTTTTCTCTTAACACCATTAATGATTGCATAAATGAACATTCCATCTTCGTTTGGGCAAGAACCAAGTTTGCCAGTTAGCTGCCCATTCAAACCCTTATCATTGTTTTTCATTTTGGACTCACTGCTCCCTGAAGTCAGCTGGCTATAAGATGTGTCTCTCTTGTTTTTCTCCGGATAATTTCGCTTAAAATGTCCCTTTTTATGACAACCATAACATTCTACCATATCCCTGTTTTTACTTGATAGAGGTGAGTCTCTGTACGACTTTCTGTCCAACTGGTCTCTGTCTTTTCTGAGCTCTTGGATTTCCTTGTTCAAGGCTTTCATATATTCTTTTCCATTGATGACATCCAGTACTTCATTTCCATATTGAATATTTCGTTATTTGTAGTTACCTCTTCCATCAATTGATGCTGGTAATCTTTGTATACCCCTTCTTGTCTTCTGCCCTAAGATATGCCTCTGGTTCTACTGCATGTCCGAGTCAGGCAAGCATCTAGAAATTGTTCCATGGTCAAGGTTTCCCTTACTTCATCAGATGGTGCTTAAGGATACGCCAAATTTGCCAATCCTCTGTATGATACCCAAATTTGCCAATCATCTGACAGCCTGTCCTAACTCAGGAATGGTCTCTGTGGCTCTTTTACGCCTCTCCCTTTGCTGAACTCTGTCTAATTCAGTTTGGTTGGGAGGTGCAAAGCGCTCCTCGAGGGCCTGTACAAGATAATGATAATCATGTTGTCACCTGGTAAGTTTCCAAGAACCCCCTGAGCCTGGCCTTGAAGAGATGCTGCGAAAAACAAGCCTTTCTCCTCTTCTGTCCACTCATTAAGTTTACTGATTGTGTTAAAATGAGTCTTATAATCCAACCACGATCCGCTGCCATCGTAGGTTGCAGCTTTGACTTCCCTTCAACTCATTTTCTTAGTAGCATTATCTGGGACACTCGGTCTTTGGTGATGCCTTTCTGTTATATTACCAATATCTACTGTATCCGGTATGCCCTCTCTGTTGGTTTTTTCATTTCTAGCCTCCATTTCCTCATATGAAACCTTACCCTTGTATGACAACTTACCCTTACCTGGCAACTTCTCAGCTCTGCTGTAGTAAACTCCAAAGAGACTTCAAAACAGACTGACCGAAGCTGCCAACACCCGCTATATATATAGCATATAGGACTGGTCTATTTCATGATATAGAAGACAGGTTATTCCTTGTCAAAAACCCTAACATATCCCTTGTAATTCTGATTGGAATAACCCTGATTCATTACATCTCTATATAATAAGCTGCAATAATGTTTTTTTTTTTTTTTTGGGGGGGGGGGGGGGTTAATATCAGATAAAAACAAGAGGCCCATGGGCCTTATAGGTCACCTGAGCATCATGCAACAACTTTCCAACAATTGAATTTGGTTTATATTTTAAACTAGGCGACATGGCATTCACAAGTTTGAAAGAGGCACCATTGCTTATCATAACTATACACTTAGCATGTTTAGTTTGCTTACTTAATACTCATAGACAGAGTACGGGAACAAAAAAATGAATTTCAACTTATCAGTAATATTCAGCAATAATCAGTAGTGCCACTACCACACATGAACCCCTGACCCTTGCATGGTCCACAAATTTCACAATTTTGGAAATGGCACCCTTGCTTATCAAAATTGCTTGATTAATACCAAGGAGCAGATTTCAAACAATTGATTCATTTTCAGTATATAAATAGACCCCCCTCTATGGTACCCCTGACCCAAAGGCATTTCACAATTCAGGAAGAATGGCCCTTGCTCACCATAGCTATATATTAGGTAGTTCATCTGCTAAATACCCAGGAGCAAAGAAGAAAATTTTCAAAGATTTAATCATTTTAATGTATTTTCACTATATAGTTAATAGAGCCCCGCCCTAACACCAGAACCCTTGACCCTGGGGCCACTAAATTCAAAATTTTGGAAGAGGCAGTCTTCTTCATCATAACTATATACTTAGTTAGTTTGATTAATACCCAGGAGCAGAGAAAAAGATTTTCAAAGTATTAATGTATTTTCATTATACATGTATAATCAATAAAGCCCCGCCCTAACACCAGAACCCCTGACCCAAGGACCATAAAATCACAATTTGGGAAGAGGAATTCTTCCTCATCATATCTATGTACTTAGTTAGTTTATTTAATACCTAGGAGCAGAGAAGAAGATCTTTAAAGAAATAATGCATTTTCACTATATAATCAATAGAGCCCCACCCTAGCACTAGAACTCCTGACCCTGGGGCCATGAATTTCACAATTTTGGTAGAGGACTCAATGGTCATTATATACATTCATGCTAACAGTTTGCCTGCTTGATGTCCAGGAGTAAAGAAGAAGATTTTTAAAGATTGCATTAATTTTAGTGGTTTTGGCCCCACCCCTCAGGTCCCAGGGGGGCAGGGACCATGAAATTCACAATTTTGTTCCCCTTCACCCATAGATGCTTTATGCTAAATTTGGTGGAAATTGGTTGAGTGGTTGCAGAGAAGAAGCTAAAAATGTTCAAAAGTTTACGACCGATTGACGACGAACGACGTACGACGGACGACGACGGACAAAAACGGATAGAAATAGGTCACCTGAGAGACTCCTGTCCACGAGCACCTGTGTACGGAACAGGTGCATGTGGGCGGATCGCTCTGATATAATCATTTACCGTATATGTAGTATAGAGGCATATAATGAAATAAGTCGTGATTTAAACCTCTAATTTTCAACACGGGTGTCTGAAAATGCAAATAAATAGGCAACAATAGACCTTAGATAAATATAAAAATCGTTAACATTTTACCTGTAGGTCTGTATATCTAGACATTATTTATTTTATTCAAATGGTCACATACGGATTGTAAATTTTACATATTGTAAACTTGCGCTTTTCATCTTCGTGCCTTTGAAAAAAGAAAAAAAAAATACTTTAAATCTTTTGCTAATGTACAGATATTAATGCAGATGACCAAGGTGGTTGGCAGAAGTTGGCGAGAGAAATTATCGGAAATCGAACTCGATATGGTACAACTTATCTAAGTAATATTTGACCCTTCGGAACTCTTCAACTTTTATCTATCCTTTCAGTACTGGAATGTTTTCGATGACAACAAACATGGCTACTTAAAAAAATACCATCTGGCATCCATCAGAAAAGTCATTTGATTATCATGGAACGTAAAGTTACGTGATTTACTAGACCAGATAACGGTAAATGGACATCATTGGTTTCTCTCTATTTGCACTATTCTAAATAAAGACGTTCACTGTCTTAGATCATTGAAGATGCACTGTGCAATAAGATTTTTCAGATAACCAGCTGATTAAGGCATTTTGAACAGTTTTTAGAATTAAAATTTAATAATATGTTTGTTATTTTCTGAATATGTGGAGGTACATATCATTCATTAAATCTACAGTCAATGGACAAAAGTATTCGTCATTTTTCAAAATGGCGTCGCGTTGTTTACGTTCACAACGGAAGTTTTAAACGTAGATTTGTATACTTAAAATTAAAGTCACTTACTAATATTTGGTCAGATTTCCTTTCATAAATATTACTTCTTTAACATTGGAATGGATGCGTAGGCTGTCGTATATATTTTTCCCACACTTGTCGGATTGCATGAAACAGCTGATCGCGACTTTCAATATATTGCGGACATGCCTTTAAGATCTCTTTTGATCAAAAAAATGTTTTCAATCACATTTAAATATGGATATATTGGCCAATCTGTGCAGTTAATATTATTTTCGGTCATATAGTTTTTCACTACGTGAGCCCTAAAGCATTATCGTCTTGGAAAACATAGTCTTTGTTCGGGAAAGTTTGCAATTAAGGCCATAAATTATTATCAACTATTTCCAAGTATTTGAGTGCATTTATATTACCTTAGACAGGTACAATAGTTCCCATACCATCAAAACACATGCATCCCCAGATTTTGTTACCTTCCTTTTCGATGGCGGACAAATCAAATGGGGACTGTTCATTCGGCGTCCTTTCTCCACACATACACACGGTTATATGTCCCGAAAACATTTTTACTTTATATCGGAAAATATATATTTTTTCCATTCATTATCACTTTTCCAATATATCTTGACACCATTTTACCCGTTTTTTTCTGTTCACACATCGAACCACCATAGTCTTCCTTGCACGTTTCCTTTTGTACCCTTCTTCACGTAATTTTCTAAATACTGTTTTTACTAAATTGTCTTCCTCTTCCTTCGTTCAGTTTGTTTGTTAAATCTGAAAAAGTGTCCCTTCTGTTTGCTTTAAGGCGATTTTTTTGTCCCGAATTGTAAACAAAAGTTGCACGGACCAAGGTCTTGGCAAGTTTTCTACAGTACCCAGTCTGTCAAATTTATTCAAAATACTCACGATTGTTGACCTTGGTATACCAAACATTCTCGCCAGTTCTGCTTTATTTGGAGTGTGGTTTAGATTGATCATTTCTTTTACCTCAGTGCTCAACTTTTATTTTCGCCCCATGTTTTCGAGTGATGGAATGTTTACAGACACACAAACAAAATGACGTCAAAAAATACCATCCATCAGAAAGTTGCATTCTATTTCGATTATCGAGTGAAAAATAGCCGAGAGAGGCATCGCGATTAACGCAACGCCAATTAAAATGACGAATACTTTTGTCCATTGACTGTAACTTTCTTTGTAGTTTAATGTCATAAGTAGGTATTTATAATTTTATACATAATTATAGAAATTAATGGAAATATTGAGTACTGTATAAGTGTGTGTGTGTGCAGGTATAAAAAAGGCATATTACATAGTGCACTTGCTTAATATTTTTAATATATTGACCTCGCCACCATTAAGGCGAGTGCAGATATTTCTTTTGTCATAATTTAGATTGGTCGTGTCAAAACGCTCATGCCATTTGGTGCATTTATACTCTGACGTCACATGATGTCATATTTGTAAGTTACATTACCAAAAAGAAGCCTGAACAGCGCTGAAAGAAAATGAATGTTTTGTTTACTATAAATCTTCCATACCGTATAATCCCTATTAACCGCCCCGGGCGCTTAGAAAATTGTAAAAAGGAGGCGGTTATTTTAAGTGTGTGTATGATGTGTCATATTTTAACCTCAAAAAAGTACAAGGAACCACTAAAATAATGTCTAACTTTACTTAAAGTGAAGATAATCCTACCAAATTATGCTAAATTATTCATTTTCCACTGAAAATTTGGATAATAGACAATTAAGTTTAATTTTCACTTTCTTCAATAGTTGATATGATTCTCGTTGATTTTAATAACTGTACAGGGGGCCCTTATTTCCTAACAAGTGAAAAAGACCTTAGGGGGCGCTTATAGAGGCAGGGTGGTTAATAGGGATTATATGGTATTTATTACTGTATACAGGGTTATTTTCGCCCCGTGTTATTTTCGCCCTTTCACATTCGGAAATAAGTTTACCCTGTTTTAAATTCACCCAGAAAGATATCTGTTTAAGATATTATACTGTTTACTTTGAATTCACCCCGTTTTAAATTTGCCCACTTCCGACGAGGGCAAAAATTAAACGGGGCGAAAATTTCCCTGTATACAGTAATCAAATCAAGACGTTAACTTTTTGTTGAACTTTAATTGCTGCTACTTTCGCAATAGCGTAGCTTTAACAATTGATGCATTGTGGGTCCAAAGTAACTGCAGGAAAAAAATTGTTTGGAACAATGTGCAAAGTCTGAATTTCCTCTTTGCCCTGGCGTTGCTTTAAGAGCTTTTACAATGACTAATAAACTCAGTCTGTAGATAATTAAACAGTCTTACTGTATTGATTTTTCCTACATGGATTTTTCTAGGGAAGTCTGTTAAGACACTACGTGCAGGCATCTTAAATCATGATGTAATTCTTATGTACGCCTTTCAATGAATAATAGAAAAGACTTACACTGAAGAAGTCCAATAAATCAGAATTTCTATAAACCAGACATGGAACTTCAGCTATTTGTTAAGATAGTTGTACATTGTTGTAGGGTCAATTTGTTCAATGTTTATAGTATTTTCAAAAATGGATTTTCAGATCCCTAAATTGTGTAATACTATATATTTTATATTTTGAGAAATCTAGTTGCATCAAATAAATCTAAACTATTGTACAATTAAGAAAACATTATAGTTAAATGACTGCAAAATTCAAATTTAATTTAAGTAATCTTTAATTTTATTTTAAATTGTTACATAAATTTGGATATTAATCTTTGTACTAAATTAAAAATATTTTTAATGGTTTATATGGTGATTATAATACTTGTATGTACAAGCCTTCATAGTACACTGGTATTTGCAAGTATTTCACATTGGGAAGTTGAACTGGAGGTGTCCTAACTAACTTTTTGTGACAAAAAAATTAAAAGAATGATGGAGGCATACCAGCTAGGAGAGGACAATCCCCCGCTCTTAGAAAAGACACTCAAAATTCTAAAAGTTCATGAAAATTAAGATAAATATGTCAAAAAAATATGTTGTCAATTTCTTTTTTGAATACACATTTGATTCCTTTATTTTATTGAATAATTTTTTTGGTTGCATAATTATTGGGCTACTATTGCCGCCCCTGTTGACCATTTGTCGATGACCCTGCAGTATATCATGTGCAATAGAATTCAGATCTGTAATTTACCCAGTACATGTTAATATTAGTTAGTATTGATCTCAAGCTCACTAATTCTTCTCCCAAGTAGAAAAAAATATTCTGCAAGTTTTCTCTTAGTCAAGAAAAATCTAGTGCAGGTTTGATGAAGGTATTTTTTTTTTCAACATAACTTTAATACTATATAGTTGTTTAGATGTTAATTAACTACAATAAATATTATCCTTGATGAAAAGATTAACCAAAGCTATTTCCTATTTTGTAAGGATATTAATTCCGAGAGCAGTCATGAAAAGTAAGTACAGATGATTATATGTTGGAGTTTGGGGACTCTGATTTGCGGAATCTGCTTGATATAACTTGATTTGTATTAGCATTGAAATGCATGTTTTTTTGTCTTTCTGAAATGCATGCTTATTATCTGTTTTATTGATTATTTTTGGTATAAATAGTTCAAGAATTCTACTTAAAAAAATATGCATTTTTACTTTAAAAATGTATGTATACAGTATTTGCTTTAAAAATGTATGTCATATTCATTTGTTTCTTATAAATATTGCATGAGAAAACAAGAAAAATTGTAACAAAAAAAAATTACTGTTTACAATTAGAAAAAAATGATCGTTAAAAATATTTGCACAACAAAAATATATACCGTATAATCCCTATTAACTGCCCAGGGCACTTAGAAAATTGCAAAATTAGGGCGGTTATTTTGTTATTCTCTTTGTAATATATGATAGTTTATCTTAACTTCAAAAAATACTTTGAAAAAAAAAATAAATTCAAAGAATCTATAAATTAATGTCAAACTTTACCTTAAATAAAGATAATCCACCCAAATTATGCTAATTAAATGAATCATTTTCCACCAAGAGATCGGATAAAAAACAAGTTTCATTTTCAATTCCTTCAAATTTTGGCAGACTTTTGATATGATTCTAGGTAATTTTTATCACTGTACAGGGGGCCCTTGAAAAAGACCTAAGGGGGCACTTACAGGGGCAGGGGCGGTTAATAGGGATTATACGGTAGTAAAAACATGATAAATCTTACATCTGGATTAATCAAAAATATGTCTACATGCTTGTAAACGAGTAATATTTTAAGGGTCAAAAGCATGAATTTAATCATTATGGCTATACTTAGAAGATTCAATACTTAAAGCAAGATAAATATAATTTCTTACTAATATAATTATACAATATGCATGTACTACTTATTTATTTAAAGTACATAGGACCTTTAAAAAACTTTATTGTACCAGGTATGTCCCTTAATTCAAAGACAAAAATTTACACTGCAAACATGTCAATATGTTGATTGATATTTAGGCTAGCATGCACTTAAACATGTTCAAGATAAAATGCATGTACATTAATTGTGTTACATGAATTTTGGAAGGGGGCCATGTGTGTTGTGTTTGTGTGTGGGTATACATTCTTTAAATATTTAACATGGACAAAAGAAGTCAGGGGAATGCATGTACTAGCATCCTATTTGGTAAATGGTGTGTGTATTTATTTATATGAATAGTTATGTTTGTGTATATAAATGTACATGTATGTGCTTTGGGTAACAATGTAGACTAGTCTTCCAATATTTTGAATATTTATTATGTTAATATAATTAATGAAAATAATTGTTCATTAAAACTTGCTTAGTATGACCACAGATATAGTGAATAAATGGATATAGCTAAGTTTTTATGAATCCTTGGCAGAATTCTTATCAAACCCTTACTACCATGTAAACGGGTAGAATTCATCAGCGTATAGGTTTGGGAAAAAGATATGGTGATTTAGTTCTATGTTCACAGTATGTATTGCTAAAGTGAATTTACAAAAGACAAATATTTTCTGGGGATCCTCAGTTGTTGGAGGCTGACTTACAAAACTATTTCCAGCAGTCATTTACCCTGCATGTCTAGCTATTAATATTTAAGTTTCAAATACTGGTCTAAGTCAGAGTAAGTAAGAAATTTTTATGCAGTTAAGTTTTTTTTTACTTTACTTTAAAGATTATTATTTAATTTCATCACATTTATGTGAATTGGCTTGAAAAGCTTGAGATTTTATTTTATTCAACAAGATTTACAAATAACATGAACAAAGATGCTAATTTTTTATGCTCATCTTTTGATCTATATGTTTTGTTTCAGAGTTCAAGATCTACAAGACATAGAATGTTGCATCAATAATAATGCTATTTTTTTCAGAGTTTAACAAGACCAGCATGGAACCTGACCCTGATGAAATTTTACACCCTGGGTTAGAGTCCCTGGCCTGGACCAAGGAACATGAGGAAAAGGCTAGAGGTATGTTGTGTTCTGTGAGATGTTCAAGGTATATATTTGTACAAAATTCTGAGAAAACCCATCTCTGTTTGAGGATTGTCATAACATCTAAAGTTTAAACATAAACATGCATGTCTCTCTTCTGAATGCAATATTTTGCAATATTTATCATGACAATTTGAAAATAATCAAACATTGAAAGAAGCATGTTTCTTACATGTAATTACTGTGCAGGTTTGCAGGGTGGAGCATATTCACTGAACAGTTTTTACATTAATTTTTGAGAACAGCAAGTTCTCATACATAACATAAAAATGCCAAAACTTATACTCGGTTAAAAGCAGAGAAAAGATGAAAATAAACCTAATTCTGAAGAAAATGAATGAAAATACAACGACACCATAAAACATATACAATGTGAATGTGTAAAAGTTTATTAAAATAAAAAAAAAAAGAGTATTGAGGATCTGATTTTAATCAGATTGATTAAATTTATAAGACAAGCAGTGGTTTAACTTACAATATTTTACTGCATGCTGTGAATTTTTTTTAATGTTGCTAAGATAATTGAAAAACAAAAACATGCTAGAATGATGCAGTTTATAATCAGTAGATACCAGTTATCTTTTTCACAATAAATTTAATCAAAATTTTAACATACATGTATATTACCAAAAGAGATACAAAAATACAGCTAGCAGTAAACTTAATTCATTTTCATTCATCAAATTAGGAGGAATGCATTTAAAGAACTATATGCGGTATATTGCATATGTTTGCCCCCACAAAAGTCAAATTTTGAAAACTTCCTGAAATGTGCTGAATTCAATAAATGTACGAGAAATATAAGTTAACAGAAAATATCATAGTTCCAGAGCAGTGTATTCACAATTTCTGTTTTTATGACGTCACAAACTAGTCCGATTTTATATCCTTTTTCAGAAAGAGGACAAAATGGACAAAATTTCAACAATTTAAGCTTTAAAATTTATAGAGCGCATGTGTGTTCAGGAACAATATTGACATGTTTCATTGATATTATCATTCTACACATTATATCAAAATATTTATCCTGAACACACATGCGCTCGGTGACTTTTATTTAAAATATCGACGAAATATGTCATTTTTCTGCAAAATTCATAAAAAAATGAAATTTACGTCATATTTGTGACGTCATTACGTACATATGACATCATTACTTATGAAATTATTCAGTGCTTTGAAGTCAGCATATACTCCCCTGTTTAAGGACTTAATTAAATATTACTCCATCAAAGTTTGATTTTGGGGGGCAAATGTTGGTTAATACAGCATATAGTTCTTTAACATCAGTAGAAAGCAGTATTACTTTAGAATTTTACATGAAAGTCATGAAGATTAAAACTTTTACACCATAATTTATAAATTAGAAATCATAATAAACAGATAAGATTCACTCATAAGCCCATTTCATACATGAGTTATCCTTTGATCATGCACTGTGCTTCATTCTCCAAAAATTTTCAGTTGGAATTTAGAGTCAGCCAAGCATTTCTTGGGTGATGGGAAGAGAGGTGGTGGGGTGGGATGGGGGCTAGGATGTCAAGAAAATAACATAATTGATAACAATAACAATATTTTTTCAAAGGTCACATGTATTATTTTTCTTCAGCCTTCGTCTGATTTTCCTGCAGCAGGAAAATGACATTTTAGCTTAAAGTGAATCAACAAAATTGTACTTATTGTGCAATTTGCATACGTTGTCAAACAATCTTACACCCCCTGGTACACACATAAAATTATAACTGGTTACATGTACAGAGAAAACACTAAAAATAAAAACCTCCAAAAAAATAGAAATCTTAGAAAATGCTTGAAAATTAACATATCAAGAGAAAGATATGTGAACACAGACTTGAGGTAGAAATAAAACTAGACATGATATAGCTAATGACTGTATGATACATGTACATGTATGCTCTTAAGGAGATCATGATTATTGAGCACTCCATGTTAACAGGTGAACAGTATGGAGTGAAGATTTCTTTGGGGTTGGAATATATGGGCCAGTTGGACATATGTGTAAAAATATCTGTATTTGTACATTGGGATTTGTTGATACCGGGTTAATTTAGTAGTTGTTCAGAAGTGTGCATGATCATGCAACAACTCCATTCTGAATAGCAGGTTTTGAAGAAAACATTTAAAAATCAGTTATTTCAGTATACAGTGGACCTTTAGATATCCGGATGCCAGATATTCGGATGCAGTGTCCAGACGACTCTTCATCAGAACAGAATTTTCTGGGAAAGGCACTTTACACAAATTTCCTCATTCCACCCAAATGTAAAAGGGGTACCTGGGCTAACCTGGCTATAGACAGTGAAAGATATTGAACGTTAGTGTTCTAGCACCTTAACAGCAGCTTGCACTGAAAAAGTTTCTGGATTGTTATGCTCTGCTGGGGTAATAATGTATTGTAAAGTGCTTTAAGTAGCATTTATGCTAGAAAGGCGTTATATGGGTCATTTTCAAAAAAAGTCTATTTTTTGAATGACATATTTTGAAAAATGAAAGTGGTTTTACTGTGACTTTTTCAACTTTATTTGAATAATATAGTAATAAACTACTAAAATCCACTGCATTGCATAAAAGAAAATATTTCTTTTAAAAAATATTGACATTTTATCTTAGTCATTTAAACTTTAATGTCCTTCCTGTTACTTTCATAAAAAGAGCTGTAAAACTCTATTTTCAAAATTTTCATCAAATTATCTTTTGTATACCGTTAATAAATGAAAAAATTATTATTGAATGCCAAGATGTTTGACATTCATCTAATATATGAGCGTTTAAAAGCATGTCAAACTACCATATACCAAACAGAAGCAAAATCTACGGGTTTTTCTTCATGAAAAGCCTTATTGCGGAATGTTTATATGCTATAGTTGAAAAAAACATTCTTGTACATTATTTTTGTGATTAGAATAAACAGTTACAGAAAGTTATTTAAACAGGTGCTCTGCCAAAGCAATTTAAACTAGGAAAATATACTGGTAACAGTAAGGACTCGGGTAACAGGAAGGACAAAACAGTAACAGGATGGACAAAACAGTGTAACAGGATGGACAATGAAATCTACATTTTAAGTAAAAATTGACTTTTTTTAAACTTTATTGGTTAGGAAAAGAGAAATAAAGGTAGAATAAAAAAAATGATTTTGTCAAATCTGGCAAATTTGAGACAATAAAAGACATTTATGTCCATCCTGTTACGAAATTTAATTCTAAAGTGCTATTAAAATATTTATCAGTTCAATTTTTGTTTATTAAAGGTACTCTATGCTGTTGCAAAACTAAGAATTTTTCATAATTTTAAGAAAAACAAATGATGAAACTTAAATAGGTATATAAATACCAGGATAATTTGTCCCTCCTGTTACAATTTTTGTCCATTCTGTTACAAGAGTGCATGTTTAAGTTATAATGGCACAATTTGAAGCACTAACTTATTTCAATATGATTTACGAAGTTTTTTAACATGTTTTATTAAACTTATATTATTTAGAAAAATAAAAGTAATTGTTTTTATTGTTAAAACTCAAGATATGAAGTCCAGTTTTCCTTACTGTTACCATATTAATGGTAACAGGAATGACAGTAACAGGATGGACATTTCTCATATAAATCACCGGTTATTTAGTATAACGTACTCTTTTTGCATCATCAAGACATTGAAACAGTTTCTTTGTAACTTAGTAAATCTGATTGTTTTAGCAGAATAAACAATTTAAAGAGTATTTGCATATTATGAAGGTAACAGATAGGACATATTTTCATTATACTCTACCAATAAGACAAACTTATCGACCTTTGAACCCTTTCTTTACTCACTTTCAAATCATGGCGCTCATAAACTTGAGACAACAGAAAATGATGATATATTGTGGATCATGAAAACAGTTCCTAGGAAAGTGAGATAACTTTTATTTTAACATTTTCTTTCTGATAACAGGAATGACATAAACTGGTGGGACATGTCACTTCCTGAATGTTAAATGCACGATACTAGTATTTAGTGGGCGGCATAAGTAAAACAATCATATTAAATTAATCTGTAAATGAATTCAATTAAAATGAGGTGCAAAATTTGTACATACAATGTATCTTCACAGGGTAATATTTTCCCTATCATTTAAATAAGCGCATTATAAAATTTTTGTTAATGTGACATGGTTTTACTGTTAAATTTTACTCGGAATGCAGAGAATATTTTTTATAAAACACCTGGGAGATGATCATAAAATTACTTATAAGCTATATGACCATGTATATTAACCAACGGGAAAAAAAATTTCACTCTAAAAAATGTTTTCCTATTATTCTGATCAAAAGACAAAAAAGTGGACTTTTTTTGAAAATGGCCCATATAAAAAACAATCATTATTAAGAGTATTTTGTCTAGTTTAACTGGTACATGTAATTCAGGTATCCGGACGCTTCACATATCCAGACAAATTGACTAGGAACCAAAGTGTCCGGATAAATGAGGCTCCACTGTAGTTGGTCAAATATACCAAACAACTGATTTGCATGTAATTGCAACAACTGACATCTGAATATAAAGTTTTTAGGAAAACCTCTTCATTCAGAATGATTAAGATTTGGTTCTCCTGAGCCTTTTCAGAATACCAGAGTATATTAAAAGATTCATCCAATGGAGGACATTTGTATGAGGAAAGCTATATTTTGTACAACATAATTGGGGCATGTTTTAGACTGCTTTTTGACAAGTTGCAGCACTTTTCTCCTCCCTGGTAGAATGAGGTCACTGTCCCCTAGGAAGATCCTCTTTTTATTAAACTCGGCATTTGTCAGGAGCAGGATTTTTTCTCCTTCCATTTTCTTGAGTTCAGGGCAGGCACAGGGCAGAAAAAGGGTGAAGTTTTGCTTCAGGGAAGGTGCACCTTTTTCTCGATAGATGTTATGTTTGGAAGTGACATTCAACCAAGTCCATGGCATTGCCAGTGGAAGTCCTATTGTATTGAGTTGATGGACTTTGTTGACAACAAATTTCATTGCTAGAAATATAAATAAGCAACATATCTAGTCAAGTGTTTATCATTTGTTTTTCAGAATCATAATAATTGTAGATGTTATAATGTATGTAACAAAAAGGTAATTAATTTAATAAGACAGTAGTTTCACTTAAGAAAAGAAGTAACATGAGTCCAAAGTATAAATATGTTAAGTTTGACCTTTATTTTTTGTGAATTTTATGTCCTCATTGAAATTACAAATGATGAAAATGCAAGACTTAAGTTATTAGCTCACCTGAGCCGAAGGCTCAAGTGAGCTTTTCTGATCACGTTTTGTCTGGCGTCCGTCTGTCTGTCTGTCTGTCCATAAACTTTTCACATTTTCGACTTCTTCTCATTAGAACCGCTTGGCCAATTTCAACCAAACTTGCCACAAAGCATCCTTGGGTGAAGGGGATTCAAGTTTGTTCAAATGAAGGGCCACGCCCTCATTCAAGAAGAGATAATTGAGAATTGGTGAAAATTTGGAGGTATGTTATAAAAATCTTCTTCTCAAGAACCACTGTGCCAGGAAAGATGAAACTTATGGGGAAACATCCTCAGGTAGTGTAGATTCAAGTTTTTCAAATCATGTCCCCCGGGGGTAGGGTGGGGCCAAAATGGCCGACCAAAGTTTTACATAGAAATATATAGGGAAATTCTTTAAAAATCTTCTTCTCAAGAATGACAAAGTCATAATTCATCATATTTATATGGAAGCATGTTCAGGTAGTGTAGATTCAAGTTTGTTCAAATCATGACCCCCCGGGGTAGGGCGGGGCCAAAATGGCCGACCAAAGTTTTACATAGAAATATATAGGAAAATTCTTTAAAAATCTTCTTCTCAAGAATGACAAAGCCATAATTCATCATATTTATATGGAAGCATCCTCAAGTAGTGTAGATTCAAATTTGAACAAATCATGACCCCCGGGGGTAAGGCGGGGCCAAAATGGCCGACCAAAGTTTACATAGAAATATATAGGAAAATTCTAAAAAAAATCAATCTTCTTCTCAAGAATGACAAAGCCATAATTCATCATATTTATATGGAAGCATGCTCAGGTAGTGTAGATTCAAGTTTGTTCAAATCATGACCCCCGGGGGTAGGGTGGGGCCAAAATGGCCAAAGTTTTACATAGAAATATATAGGAAAATTCTTTAAAAATCTTCTTCTCAAGAATGACAAAGCCATAATTCATCATATTTATATGGAAGCATGCTCAGGTAGTGTAGATTCAAGTTTGTTCAAATCATGACCCCGGGGGTAGGGCGGGGCCAAAATGGCCGACCAAAGTTTTACATAGAAATATATAGGAAAATTCTTTAAACATCTTCTTCTCAAGAATGACAAAGCCATAATTCATCATATTTATATGGAAGCATGCTCAAGTAGTGTAGATTCAAATTTGTTCAAATCATGATCCCCCGGGGTAGGGTGGGGCCAAAATGGCTGACCAAAGTTTTTAAAGATATATATAGGAAAATTCTTTAAAAATCATTTTCTAAAAAACAGCAAATCCATGATTGGTCATGGGACTACTTTTGGATTTAAACTTTACAATTAAAAAGCCATTTTCTACCTTTTCCTACCCTTAGTGCTCAGGTGAGCAATGTGGCCCATTGGCCTCTTGTCTTTTTAAATTATCATTCAAATTCACCATAACTGTTTCTGTGAATATGAAAAGGGAAAAAATTATCAGGTAAGAGTATTTAAGCTTAGTTAACAGAAGCTTAAAAATACTTTTGACCATGACCATTAATTGAAAAAAAAAAGACAAAGAAACATGCACAACAAGAAGGGAAAGTCCAACTTATTGGAAACATGACCATTGTATTTTGATTCTGCCACTGACCTTTTTGAGTGCAGATGTTAGTGTCTTTGGAGTAAATAGACATTATGATGGCATTTGGTCTCCATCCAGGAGAACAAACTCTACACACTCCTTTGGTTTGTTGTTCTGGCTGTGCAGGTCCTTTTGGACCAGATTGACCCTGCATTATTGAAGATGGCTTTCTGTTGTTACTTCCAGTGCATCTATCAAATATTGATTGAAAAAACTTGTGATTATTCTGTATTGCAGTAAAACTGTGGATTACGGCAAACAATTGATTTTAATGATTTCACGTTCACAGAAATATGATTTTCATTCCCTGTGGTTTTAACACCTAATGAACTAAATGACTAGAACAAATCAAACTTAAATATAAGGAATCAAAATTGTCAACACATATGCACTTGGCTAAGTGTGAATTACTGCTTATCTGCATTTGGTCATGAGTTTGAAACATTCCTGTTTAAATCTTACTCCTCTGTTTTGTCCTTGACAGTGGAGTAGCAGCATGTTTCATTGTGAAGGTAGTATGATTCAGTCCCCGGTAGACAACATTTCTTTCCATTCACTTTGGCATCTCGGTGGAACTTATTATTACAACAAAGATCTCGGTCTTCATTGTAAGGTACTCTTCCACACGTCTCGGGTCTCTTGGTGGGGACTTGCCTGTTACAAGATCTGTATCGCCCCGGTCGCTCTGAACAACAGGAATTGTGGGACGGGGCTGTCTTGTTGATTATGGCTCTGTTGTTACAGCAGACTTGTTCCCGTGAGGACAAGAGCTGCTTGCCACAACACGTTGCGTTTTTGGTATTTCTTATGAAGTGGACTGATCCTATATATGTAGAATTTTAAATGTTATTTTAAGAAGTGTTTAAAAATATCCTTCCTTGCTTTTAGTTTAAACAAGTTACATTGTACATTTAATATATGATTCAAGGTACGAAGCAAAAGCGGTTTCTCTTTTAAATTCTTTAAGTCTGTAAAGCTCATCAATATTATCGACTGTTTCAATAATAGGAAATGCTCGTAACTAAATATCTTGATAGTAGGCAATAAGCATCGCATTTCTTATTGTAAAAAGACAATAAAATTGATAAATTGTAGGCAGACCCCTTTGCTTAAGTAGAAGAACAAAAAAAATCAATGCTACAAAATAAATTGAGGTATATGAGACTTTCGTACCATTGCAGCATTTCTCTGTGTTCTTTCTATAAGACGTCCCGACTTTCCCAGCCATACAGCAGCCCTCTTTTGGGTCGCTGATGTTAACAGACCCGTTACCACAGCAACGCAGAACACCATTAGAAACAATTCTGTTTCCTTGACAGCAGATCTCCTTGTTAGAGTCAAAGAGTCCTGAAAACAATTTTTTTTTTTTCGATTAAGCGCGTGTAAACTTCAAGGCTTGTTCGTAAAACTTAACAATTGACAAGATACATGTACTTTGCTACTGATGAAAACTTAAAACAATATACTTGCCTTTACCGCAACATTGTCCAGTTAATGGTTGTATGATCTTCATCTTAGACCACCCACAGCATTGCTGCGTGTTTGTGTCGATCAGTTTCTCTCCACAACAGCCGAACGTTTTGTCAAATGAGGAGACGTTGTGGAGCCTTGACCTGCTACAGCACTTGTATTTAAACTTGTCATAGGGTCGCCCGTCACACACCCCGTGTCCCCGCGGAACAACCGTATCATAGTCACATCTAGACTCGGAGGCGTTGTAAGGTGTCTGCCGACCACAACACCTCAGATTCGAGGGGACGTAGTTACTTCCACAGCAGTGATGGGCTGAGTTAACAGAGGAACTTGATTAAATGCATGAACAGAGGTTATTGTAAGTGTGAGGTATTTAACAAGTTAAAGAGTGAAAGATACGTGGCAAAGAAAATTGTTTAAAAAGTCTTTTAATCCTACTTACACCTCTTGGCAATGAACAGTTTGTCCCCGCAGCAGACTCTTTGCTTTCCACTTTCTGATCCACCTTGTATATGCCTGTTGTGAACTTTCTGATTACAGCAGACCTCAGATATTTTGTCGTAGGTTTTGTCTGTAAAATAATTTCAGAATGTTAATTTTTTGCTTTGTGTTAATGTGCATTGTATGGGGATAAAGTTATTTTGAAAAATAGAAGAGAAAGGATCGGTTCTATTTTAAGAAAAGTCATTTAAATTTCTAACAGAAGTTTTAAAAACGAGAAATCTCTCAGAAGTGGGGGTTGTTAAATTTGATTTTTAAAATAAATTTCACCGATGTACTAGTGGTATTTCTTAAAAATTTTAGGGCCTCACTCCCTGAGTATCTTCAATTATGAATTGTGCTTAAAATAAATTAAAAATTATTGAAAAATCATTGCAATGCGTAACATTAATGATCGTGTTTTTTCGCTGCAACGAAGACAATTAAAAAATCTGGCACAAAAAGTGCACGATGAATAAAATCTTCATCTGGTCGCCTTCAGTGTGTACACACTGCTGAAATATTAATGTCCATGCACCCTAAACTTAAGAAGCCTTAAAAGTTAAGCGTCAGGCTAAGACGAGCAAAAGACCTTGTTACGTTTATTAAGTCTAATCTTGGAAATATAAATCTGGTAAGTTTGTATTCTCTCAGCTATGATTTATTTTTCCATAGAAATTAAGATACATGTACATGATGTACGTACTTCCACAGCAGCCTATGGGAGTACTGTCTTGTCTGCTTTTGTTGTGTATCCCTGATAATTCGCAGCAGATTTGAAATCTCTCGTCGAAGATTTCTGCTGTTATCTCAGTATCTCTATGCCAAAAGCACGTCTTGCTTGATACTGAAAATAAATGAAATATGTTTTTATGATTTGTTTTTTTATTGTTGTTTCTTTTTTGGTGTATGATTTTTTAAAAAAAAAAAATCTTTATTTTAATTTCTTTATTGACATGTTATAAAGCGTCTGTTTGCAGTACACTACAGTACTAGTACATGCAAAGTCCACCAGTGTGTAAAGGTCTCTATTTTTATTTATATTGTGTGTAAAATAATAATAAATGTATTTTAGACATAAAACATTCTTAAGATTTTTTTATTTTAAAATTAAAATTGCATTAACAAGAAGACATGCAAAGTTTTTGCAAGAATTTAATCATATTGCATGAAGTCTATCTTACCGTAGCCATTGTTAAAATGTTGAATGCTTATTAGCAGACACAGTGCACTCCAGAGTTTTAAAGAATTCATTTTGATGTCTTTCAATGAGAAGAGTTGAATATTTTGAGGTAAATGTTTATCATCAAAACTTAATAAACATGTTGAAGTTGTAAACATTACATCATTGTGGTTAAAAAAAGGCTGTGGGGTTTTGTTGTATATGCTATTAATTACATCGGGTATTTTTGGGGGGATTGGTTTCCAGTAATAGCATGGGAAACAACCATGATTATTTTTGCATTCTGTTCTTATACAAAATATTAACATGATTTTACCGTATATTATGTGCAAATGAATTATATGTAGCGAGAAGATATAATAATGATTTTCGTTTTATATTATCCATATGTATTAATATTGAACTAATATGCAGATAAACAGAATTCATTTAAAGTGGAATCCCTTGTTTGTAAAAGGAGCCAATATGACACATGTTCGAAGTATGAACTAAACGTGCATGCATTGGCCCAGCCATAAATATACTAATACCTATAAATAGAATTAATATGTATAGCTGTAATTTGAATGCCTTAATAGACGTTTGTTAAAAGTTATATAAAAATACAATCAACTTGTATTTAGGCATACCGTGCAAAGTTTGAATAACATCTATGAACTTTAATACTACGAACTATAGTACGAAATGTTTGTTTACAGTTTATTAGAAGACTTAGTTAAAAATGGGTGATTATTTTTAGGATTCAATTGGGGTTTTTTGAAATCTATTTATAGCGTCATTGCCTCATTAAACTGCAGAGATGACGGTTTTATTAATAGATCAAGGGGCTTAGTGTTATAATAAAAATACAAGTACAGTATCTTCGTTTTAGTTTTGTTATAGATACTAATTACTGAGTAATCACTCGTTCAGCCTTATGCAGACTGGACTAAGAATTAAGAACATTATAAAGAGAGTCTTGATTTTCTAAATCAACACATGGTTATATTTAGATTGTGGTTTTTAATGAAATTTATTTTTAGCGTCATGGTTTCTCTATGGACTTAATATACCTACAGTATCTTCGTTTTAGTTTTGTTATCGTTACATATACATATTGATCACTCGTTCAGCCTTATGCAGACTTGACTTCTGGTTAGAAAGAACAGCAGGGAATCTTGATTTTTTTTAAAATCATCACATGGTCTAGTTTAGAAGTTTTCTCTGATTTATTTAGAAAAATAATAAATCCTTGAAATTTAACATTTGCTGCATTAAAATTTTTATCAATGTTGTTTTTCCCCTTCTGGCATGGGCAACGCTTAATATCAAGAAAAATTTTGTGAGTTTTATAAATAGATGGTTTACCTACGTATTAAGTTATTTAAAGTGCACTGAAAACACACGGTTATTTTAAGTTTGATTATGAATGTTAACAAAAATAAATAATTGGAATGGGAATCACACTAAGATGCCTTTAAATTTATCTGCATGTACGTAACGCATATAACATGCATACATGTAGGTATACCGGACACTTGTAAGTCCGTAAACAAGGGCAAATTAATACATGTACATGTACACAGTATCCAATTTGTTGCTATATTAATGACACTGGAGGGCAATGTCCTCAGACCTAAACTTTCTATATATATAATCTTAGGTCGTAAGATCTGTGTATTTCTGTGAACACGACATAATTTTGGCGAATGATCAGTGAACTCATTTTTTCTTCAACACAATCCTCTTACAACACTGTGTTTCTACTGTATTTAAGATTGGCTAGATCTATTTCATTGACAGAGAAACGTGTAAACAGTCGCACCTTATGATCTGTAAACATTGGGCCCGGTAAATTCTTAATTATCTAATTTTCACAAAGGTTCCTTTAGTACAAATATTTTAAGCTGGTTGAATTGTATAAAAATTACAATCTCGAGTATTTTTTAAATACGCGCAGACAAGTGACAGTTATACTAGTATATTGCATAAAATTTAAAATATAGCTGCAATAATGTAGCCCTCTCCGATTTTTTTTATCTGATATTTCCTCCCCCCCCCCCCAAAAAAAAAGGAGAGGGCTACATTAAAACATAACCTTAACTGATAAGTATAGGGAATTATATTTTTGTAAATAAAAAAACTAACATCAAGTGCATGACTAATTTAATCTTATATAAATAAATTGTATTGAATTTATTTTTTCCTGTGTTTACTAAATGAACATAAAGATTTTTGGGGGGTATACATGTACGTGTACAAATGAAAAAATGCATTTCCAATGATAATAAGATCCAACAATATTGTGAGTAGATATTAATTAGAGAAATATGTCAAACAATAAAGATCGAAATAAAATAAATTTTACGTAAACAATTGTGTAAGAAAAACCTTTAAATAAATAAATATACATAGTTACTTAAGATAATAATTAGAAAATGGTTCCAAAGTTAACGATTGAGGTCGTCTTTAGAATATGTTTGTTTGTATTATCACAGCTGACAGGCCACAAATGCCCTGATTCAACACCTTTTCATGTTGAAAAAGTATTTTTTTTTCTCATCTCATTAACAATTAATTTAACAAAATATTTGCATTTTTTATAACCCCCACCCCCTCCATTCCTGTATTTTAATCCCAAATTGGAAGAGAGCAAGTATATATATTTTTAAAGATGGCGTCATTTACTTTTAAAAAAAAAAAAAAATTAAAGTTTTTCTTATTGCTATAATTATCTCCTTTTTCCAGCTAAGCGTCCCTCGGCACGGTACACCAAATTCTCGGAGCACGCTCGGTCCATGATCTCTGGGGAGAAGCAGTGTGCCCTCTTCTGTGGGGGCAAGAAATGCAAGTACTGCCGGTCCGAGAACTGGACGCCGGAACAGATGGACATCAACGGACTATACTCAAACTGGTATAACTCACCCATTAAGTTTATTTTGTGACCCATTTGATTGAGATTTATAAGTTTAACTTCAGATTCATACTTTTTCTAAACTTTGTTACTGTGTTAGAGAGAGAGAGAGAGAGAGAGAGAGAGAGAGAGAGAGAGAGAGAGAGAGATGTACATGGATGTTTTTTTTTGACTGAGATATGAAGATTTTACCAATTTAATTTGAAACTTATTTTTGTGATTCTATTTGTTAATTAGGAAACACATAATTAAAAGCATACATTTTAATTACAGGGTGACAGACAATATTCTTGCCATGGCTAGACCTTCAACAAAACAAATCAAAGAACACAAAATCATCGAGCAGTTTAAAAAGTAACATACATCTGTATATTTACTTCTTACTTACATGTATTGAGTCCATTCAGTTTTATAAATATAAAACAAAGTTGATGATATCTGTATTTCTGTATTATAATGTTTATTGTATAAAGTTTACTTGCAATGCAACAATATTTATTATAGAATTATTCATATGTCAGCATCCTTTTATTTACATGTAACAATCAGTTACATGTATTACTGAAATAAGTTGAGAAAAGTTATAAAATAGAGGATAAAATAATTAACACTGTACTGTTTTCTGTATCATGTTCTGTAGACATGACATTAAGAGTGTATTGAACCTCCAAAAGCCAGGGGAACACGCCGATTGTGGGGAGGGGCTGGAGAAAATGGGCTTCTCCTACGACCCACAGCTATTTATGGACAATGACAGTAAGCATTTAATTTTATTGATGTAAATGTAACATGAACCATAATTTTCTTTCAGGTAGCAATTTCATTATCAAGTAATTTATATGTGTTATGGGAGATAACTCTGACATACTTATTTTTCATGTTCATAAAATCTTGAATTTTTTTTTCAGTTTTCTTTTACAATTTTGGATGGTAAGATCCCTTTTCTATCCAGATGAAAAGTTTTCAGAACAGTTTCAAGCTACACTAATTAACTTAGATTAGTGATAATTGTTTTGCATTAACATTTTAAAGCTGTGATAATGAAGTTAATATGCTATTACTGTATTGAGGAGAACAGTTAGAAATTAATTTATACTTTAATCTAATCAGAAACCATCATGGTGGTATAAAATGCCTTGAATTTCATTTATTTTAGTGATGCTTGTGATATGATTAAAGCTAAAAAGTGAGACAATTAATTGCAGCTTTAAAAGTTTAAATATTGTCAACTTTTTGAAAAAAAATCATTGAATTTTTTTTTCTTTTTTTTTTTTTTTTGTTCATTGAAGTTGTTTTAGTATTTCAAAAAGTACATAACATTTGCATGTATGTACATGTGATGTATCATTTCCATTAACATACACATTCCTTGACAAGTGCTTATTTTACTCATTTAATTTCTTTTATATTTAGATATTGTTTGTGGTTTTATGCTTTTGATGTAATCTTGCTTTACTTCTTAAAATTAATTAGATACTAGTTCCTTTATAATCAAATAAAGTTCACTCATTTTATTTCACAAAAGCTATATTAATTTTATTTCACACAATCTATATTAATTTTATTTCACACAATCGATATTAATTTTATTTCACACAATCTATATATCGATTCCTTTAAAAGAGAGAAAAAAATGAATTTGATATCCAAGTTAATAATTAAGATCAGTTACTGACTGAAAAAGTTGACAGTGATGTTTGAAATAAAATAATGATGTTTCCTGTTTTGTGTTGTAGGCCAGACTATGGGGTCGCTGCCCTCAGCACGATACTGGACATGGTCAAGGTCATACAGTTTGGGGTGTCCGAGGGGAAAGTAGCCGTGCACTGCCATGCTGGACTTGGTGAGTATGATACAAATACATGGTGTAAATTTTTTTTGCCTAAAATAAAGTTAATTGTGCCATTTTATAATCTACTATTTTCTTGTTAATTCAGAAATTACTTTTTAGAAATAAAAAATATTTTTAACTTTTGAAGTAACTCTTTGATGTGGATATTTCAGATGAATATTTTCAAAGAATTCTACAGAATTGTTATGTTCTTAAACATGTTAAGCCTATAGTCTTTTGTAGCTCTAGCTTATGAATTTGTAATTCTTATATATATACTTGTTTTTTTGGTACTGTGGAATCATCATTGTTGGCGGGGACCAGCGTTCATGAATTTCATGGGTCATCTTTCTCCATGAATTAACATTCCTGCAAACAATTATTTGTCAATACATAAATCTTTATTCACTGAATCATCAGAATATACCTATGAAAATTACTTCCCGATGAACCAATAAAAATTGTCCATATACCCACAAACATTGACTCCACACAAAGTAAAATAATTCCATAGTATTTATTTGTAAAAGTGGCAATTACTGAGCACTGTTACTTGTACAGTATTTATTTTCAGGACGGACAGGAGTTATTATTGCCTGTTATTTGGTATTCACAAACAGGATGAGTGGCTCTGAGGCAATCCATTATGTTAGAGTTAAAAGGTAATGTGGATATGTATAGGACAACGTTTATAACTATAGATTTCAATATAAAATGCATGTTTATACCATCGCTTGCTGGTTTTTTAAAAAAAAAAAAGGTTCAGATGCTTCTTTTCCATTTCCATTTTTAAACAGGGTCATTTTACCTTTGAATGCATCCATAAGATTGTTTAGACTGGCAAGCTATAAACAAAACATACTGTACACTGGATAAAATCTTTGCTAAGAGAAACAACACTATAAGATTTATTTTCTAAAAATTTTATCTTGTCAAAAACTTTTTGCCCTTACATGTACATGTAGATCCACTTGAATTCCATTCACACCTCTATCATCAGTCAGAAAATTAATTCTCAAAATTGGAGTAAAATTCATTTAATCCATAATCATTATTAAAGCTGTCTCAAGACAAACTGACTTTATATTATTAAGAAAAATACAAATACAATATTTTAAGTGTAAGAAATGTTAATCTGTATTTTTGCCTGAATGAATAATCACACTGAGTCTCCACAAAGCACTGACTTTATTATCCTCAGTCACATTCACCACACAAACAAAAGCAACCTCCAAACACGTAAGAGTTCGTTACTAAGAGTTACCTTGCTTCATTCATAATGCAACATAAAATATATTAACAAGAAATTCGAAGGTATGTGTACAGGTGCATGATTTTGATAGCTTTATATTGTTTATATTACATTCAGGACAGGAGCCATTCAGACTAGGGGTCAGATGCAATGTGTACAGGAATTTGAGCAATACTTGAAGCCATTCCGAGTTGTCTTTGCTTCTAGGTAAATATTTTCAGATTCAACAATATTTAAGCTTTCCCAGGTTTGAATTTTCAATAATGAAGATTGATGTTTTTGAGTGAATTTTTTTCTCTTGTTGTTTTTGTTTTTGATTAGGGACTGGTTCTTTTAACTTAGTTTTAAATTTTATAAATTTTGAATGCAAGATACAGGAGGTAAATGTGTATTTTTCTCTGACTCTCTCTCTCTAAAGATTGAACTCAAAGGAGAATTTACTATCTAATGGGTATGAATTACTCTACAATACTCTAGCATTATTTTGTAGCTTAATTTTAATATTTCGTAGTTTTTAGCTCACCTGAGCCAAAGACTCAAGTGAGCTTTTCTGATCAAAATTTGTCATTTGTCTGTCGTCCTTATCGTTTTCGTAAACTTTCCACATTTTCATCTTCTTCTCAAGAACCACAGGGCTAATTTCCAACAAACTTGCCACAAAGTATTCTTAGGTGAAGGGGATTCATTTTTTTCTCCATATGAAGGACCAAGCTCTCTTCCAAGGCAAGATAATTATGAATTAGTGAAAAATTAATTGTATCTTTTAAAATTCTTTTCCTCAAGAACCACTGGGCCAGGAAAGATGAAACTCATGTAGACGCATCCTCATTTAGTGTAGATTCAGTTTTGTTCAAATGATGACCCCTAGTGTTAGGATGGGGGCCACAATGGGGGATCAAAGTCCAACATAGGAATACATACTACATGTACTAGGAAAAATCTCCTCAAGAATAACTTGGCCACGTAAGATGAAACTCCTGTGGAAGCAATCTCGGGTAGTGTAGATTGGAGTTTGTTTAAATCAAGACCCCCGTGGTTAGGATAGAGCCAGAACGGGGTATCAATATTTACATACGAATACATAAGAAAATTCTTCATAAAAATCTTCTTCTGAAGAACAGCAAAGCCATGATTCATTGGTCATAGTTATATGGAAGCATTCCTTGGTAGCGTAGATTCAATTTGTTCAAATCACCCAGTGGGTAGGGTGGGGCCAGAATGGGGTATCAAAGTTTAACATACATGTATAAATACACTATAGCAAAAATCTTTTAAAATCTTATTCTCAAGAACAACAAAGCCATGATTGGTCATAGTTATATGACAGCATCCTCAGGTAGTGTAAATTTAAGTTTAATCAAATCATGACACCCAGGGATAGGGTGGGGCCATAATGGGGGATCAAAGTTTAAAATAAGAATACTGAGGAAAAATCTTTTTTTAAAATATTCTCAAGAATAGCAAAACCATAGTTATTATGAAATTATTCTCATGTAGTGTAGATTCAAGTTTGTTCAAATCAAGACCTCGGGGCCATAATGGATGATCAAAGTTCTAAGAAGGATAACAGAAAAAATCTTTAAAATTCTTCTTCTCATGACAACAAATCTTTGTTTATATTTATAGGGAAGCATCCTTAGGAAGAATAAATTCAAGTTTGTACAAATACTATCATCCCCTCCCCCTTCCAAACCAACTTTTATATTTATAAACTTTGAATACTGAACTTATTTTGCTCTTACCTAGCATTGCTCAGGTGAGCGATGTGGCCCCTGGGCCTCTTGTTAATGTAAGTTTGATTAAATTCTATTAATTGCATCTTTTCTAAAAAAAAATTGCTCTGGTATAAGTAACAAGAGGTTCATAGGCCACAGCATCCACCTGAGTCATTAGCTAAACTGAGCTGAAGGTTCAAGTGAGCTTTTCTGATCACATTTTGTCCGTCATCCATCCATCTAGCTGTCCGTCCGTCTGTAAACTTTTCACATTTTTGAATTTTTATGCCCCCCTTCGAAGAAGGGAGGGCATATTGCTTTGCTGCTGTCTGTCGGTCTGTCGGTCCGTCGGTCTGTCGGTCTGTCGGTCCATTCAGTTTCCGTTCATTTTCTTCATAACCGTTGCCCATACTGAAATGAAATTTGGTATACAGATATATCACATGAATATCTAGGCCAAGTTCTGTTTTGGGTACGATCGCACCATTTTTGACAGAGTTATGCCCCTTGGACTTAGAAAAATTTCAATTATTTGCAGTTTCTGCTCATTTTCTTTGCAACCGTTGCACATACTGAATTCAAATTTGGTATACAGATATATCACATGAATATCTAGGTCAAGTTCTGTTTTGGGTACGATTGCACCATTTTTGACAGAGTTATGCCCCTTGGACTTGGAAAAATTTCAATTATTTGCAGTTTCCGCTCATTTTCTTTGCAACTGTTGCACATACTGAAATCAAATTTGGTATACAGATATATCACATATATATCTAGGCCAAGTTCTGTTTTGGGTACGATTGCACCATTTTTGACAGAGTTATGCCCCTTGCAGTTTGAAAAAAATTCAATTATTTTCAGTTTCCGCTCATTTTCTTTGCAACCGTTGCACATACTGAAATCAAATTTGGTATACAGATATATCACATATATATCTAGGCCAAGTTCTGTTTTGGGTACGATTGCACCATTTTTAACAGAGTTATGCCCCTTTGCAGTTTGAAAAAATTTCAATTATTTGCAGTTTCCGCTCATTTTCTTTGCAACCGTTGCACATACTGAAATCAAATTTGGTATACAGATATATCACATGAATATCTAAGTCAAGTTCTGTTTTGGGTAAGATCGCACCATTTTTGACAGAGTTATGCCCCTTGGAGTTTGGAAAAATTTCAATTATTTGCAGTTTCCGTTCATTTTCTTTGCAACCGTTGCACATACTGAAATCAAATTTGGTATACAGATATATCACATATATATCTAGGCCAAGTTCTGTTTTGGGTACGATTGCACCATTTTTAACAGAGTTATGCCCCTTTGCAGTTTGAAAAAATTTCAATTATTTGCAGTTTCCGCTCATTTTCTTTGCAACCGTTGCACATACTGAAATCAAATTTGGTATACAGATATATCACATGAATATCTAAGTCAAGTTCTGTTTTGGGTAAGATCGCACCATTTTTGACAGAGTTATGCCCCTTGGAGTTTGGAAAAATTTCAATTATTTGCAGTTTCCGTTCATTTTCTTTGCAACCATTGCACATACTGAGATGAAATTTAATATACAGATTAATCAGATGAATATCTAGGTCAAGTTCTGTTTTGGATACAATCGTGCCATTTTTGACAGATTTATGCCCCCTTGGACTTACAAAAAAATTCAAATTTGGGGGGAGGGGGGCATAAGTGTTTTACAAACATCTCTTGTTTCTCAAGAGTTACCACGTCAATTTTAACCAAACTTCGATACAAAGCATCCTTGGGGGCAGGGGAGTTTTAATTGTTAAAACGAAGGGCCAAGTCCCCTCACAAAGGGGATATAATCAAGAAAAGACAGGTGGGATACTGGTAATTAAAAATAAATCTTTAAGAACCACTGAGCCAGATCTAGAAAAGTTGAAACTTATGTGGAAACATCCTGGGGTATAGTACATTCTAAATTGTTCAAATCATGACCCCTGGGTGTAGGGTGGGGCCACAATAGGGAAACTAAGTTTTACATACATGTAGAAATATATAGGAAAGCACTTTAAAATCCTCTTCTCAAGAATCACTGGGAGAGAAAAGCTGCATCTGATGTGGAAGCATCCTGGGGTAGTGTAAATTTTAATTTGTTGAAATCTTGACTCCCAGGGGTAAGGTGGGGCCATAATAGGGAACCCATGGGGTAGGGTGGGGTCACAAAAGGTATTACAAAAGGGAAATATGGTAAAGAACAGCATGGTTAAAGCCCATGGGCCTCTTGTTTTACTTACTCTTGGCAAAATGAATGTCATTAGGAATTACAAAAACTCTTTAATATACTATCATGGCTGTCTATATTCTTTCAATAAACTTAAAGTTATATATAACATGAAAAAACTGATTTTATGCTCCATAGAAATATATTAGATATACAAAATGCTAATCATTATTAATGAAGTCTTCGGTTTCCCCAAATTTAGATCTACATACTTTATTTTAGAAGCTTTTGCTTTTTTAGCTCACCTGAGCCGAAGGCTCAAGTGAGCTTTTCTGATCAAAATTTGTCTGTTGTCGTCGTTGTCGTAAACTTTTCACATTTTCATCTTCTTCTCAAGAATCACTGGGCCAATTCTAACCAAACTTGCCACAAAGTATCCTTAGGTGAAGGGGATTCAAGTTTGTTCAAATGAAGGGCCACACCCTCTTCCATAATTATAAATGAGTGAAAAATTAATGGCATTTTTAAAAAATCTTCTTCTCAAGAACCACTGGGCCAAGAAAGATGAAACTCATGTGGAATCATCCTCAGGTAGTTAAGATTCAAGTTTGTTCAAATCATGACCCCTGGGGGTAGGGTCAGGCCAAAATGGCTGATCAAAGTTTTACATAGGACTGGATAGGGAAATCTTTTAAAATTGTCTTCTCAAGTACTTCAAAGCCATTATTAGTGATATTTATATGGAATCTTCCAGAGGTAGTGTAGATTCTAGTTTGTTCAAATCATGCCCCCAGAGATTGGGTGTAGCCGCAATTGGGGATCCAAGTTTTACATTAAAATATATTTTAAAAAAATCTCCTCAAGAATAGCAAAGCCATGATTAGTGATACTAGTATTTATATAGAAGCATTTTCGGGTAGTGTAGAAAAATAAAGCCAATTAATGGGAAAAATCCCAAGAACGGAAAAGCTTTGTTTAGTCATATTGACATGTAAGCATCCTCATGTATTGAAGATTTAAATTATTCAAATCATGGCCCTTTGGGGTAGGGACAGAAACAATGTGGAATCAAATTTAAATTATTATGAAGTTGTATATATAGGAAGCAAATGTTTTTAAAAAATGTTTTTATCAATAAAAGCAAAGCCATATGCTGTATTAATATGAAGGCATTCTCAAGTAGTATTAAAATTCAAGCCCCCACCCCCACCCCCCAGCCCCCCCCCCACTTCAGTAAACTTTTCAGTTATGATCTGATTTGTGCTTTTTCCTAGCCGATTTGCTCAAGTGAGCGATGTGGCCCCTGGGCCTCTTGTTCTTTTTTTTTTAAGACTGGGTACTTCCAAAAACTTTTAAATATGCCACCTTTTTTCACTGCTAGTATTTCTTCATTATTTTTTCTAAGGGTCCGGACCCTTGTCCTTTGTCTGAACAATTTAAAATTTGTTACACTAAATATTTCAATATGGAAAGTTTGGTTGAAATTGGTACAGTGGTACTTAATAAGAGAAGAAGATAAAACATGAAAAAATTAATCCAGGTTTTAAAGTGACACTCAAACACTAGACAAACTTTGATAAAAAAAGCTTGCTTTAGTGACTGAATTATTTAAATGGAGTGCTTGGGAGAGGGAGCTTACAGTATGTGTCTTAAAAGTAGTACACTAAGAAATTTATATAAGATATTGAACTGTAATTAAGTAGTGTAGTAGCAGGGACCTATACTGATATTTATATGGTGCTAATTAAATAGAAATGATATTTTATATGGATTGCAATTTTTAATACACATTGAAAAAGGATATTTTTTAATATAAAATTTCTATGAACTTTAAAGAAGTAATTGTTGAACATAACTTACAATTATATATATATATATATATATATATATATATATATATATATATATATATATATATATATATATATATATATATAGTAAACATGTATATGAAGAGGGTGTATGTAGGCCTTGCCTGTTGCCCAATCCTTATTGTATTATTCAAGAAAATATATTTAAAGTAAACATATAGTTAGTTGAATGTAATTTTTTTGACATTGCAGGTCACCTGGATCGCATGAGTTTACTCTGATGCAATACTTAAATCGACAAAGGCACATGCTTCATGGATATGAAGGGCGAAAACTTAAACATGTGCCAAAGGTGTGTAAACGATGATGGTTTTTCAATATGTCTGTCAGATAGTATTCATCTTTTACAGTCAAAGCAAGTGGCACTTTAAAAGTATTTTTAACACAGGTTGATATTCTCCCAGTTACATAAGTACCACTTAACCACTTTACAAGAGTACAAAAAAAGCAAGCAAACAAAAAGATTAAACTTACCTAAAAGAATGAAAATCTATATGATACATATAGATGTCTCTGCCTTGGGGTTTTGGGGGACCTTTTTGAACAGGAAGAGAATGGTCTGAGACATTAGGTTCTCCTGTTTTACAGGTTATATATGTTGTGTGTGAAAAGCTTCTACAGTTGGCTAATCTGGGTCAGTCCCTCAGTAAGTTTGGCTCGAGTCGACGGAACATGCAGGGCAGTATGACATCCATGAGTGAAGACCCCAAAACAGAATCAACCAATCAGAGCGGGTCAGATGTTTCTATCAAAACTGCAGCAAAGAATGGCAAGGACTCCTCAAAAACTAACAAAAAGGAGGGCATACCTAGGGTAGACTCCCAAAAGTCTCTGGAACCAGAGACATCTTCAAGACCTCCACTATTAAAACATGGAAGTATAAGTATGGAGGATCTTAGTGATGAAAATTTAAAAACTGTTCTCAAAATTGGTAAAAATAATGACTCGGACAGTAATTCATCTCGCGAGCCATCCTTTAGCTCGAGACAGAACAGCGAGATAGCTGAAACATCTTCCACTGATGAGTTACTGAGTTACAGTAATGTGGTGTTGTCTGTCAAGGAAGTTGTGGACGCTTTAGCAACATCAGACATCTCAGATGAGCAGTTTAACATGGCAGAGAATCTGGAGGTATGGTTAAATTCAGTTAGGCAGTCTACCAACAGCAGTACACTCATTATAAATAAAAATATTTAAAAGAGGGTTAACTGAAAATTTACGAAAGATTTAACCTAATTTTAGTAAATGATCTATACGAAAGTATGTAGAACATCTTGTATTAGACTGAACAGTTTTGAAGTATATCCTTCATTTCTTTAAAAAAAAAACATTACTAATTTTGTTTTTTAAGAGATAAAAGATTCTTAGCAAGGTATAAGTATAGATTTTCTTGAGCAGTGTTCTAGCTTTCATTAATGAAGCATACAATAAAACACATCTCAATGATTGGGCCTGTACTTTTTCCTTCTTCAGATGATGATTTCTATAGATATAATAAGTATAAACAATTTAAAGTAGCAGTTCTTTGTATTACACTTCGTAATGCCTGAAATGGTTATTTTTTTCTGCTACAGCTGAACATTATTTCACATACTGACAATAGAGAAATTATTTTATTGTTTGAATAAATGTAACAACTCAAATGTGCTCACCCAAAAATTTTATTGTATAACAATAATTACGTAGAGATTTATTTTTAATTTTTGGATTGCAGACCAAGTTAAATGAGAGTGAGGATGCCTGGCATGACCTAGTTCTGGAGAATGACCCTGTAGTTCTGGCTCAGGTCATGTGGGATTGGCTGGACCACCTTAAGGTAGTACAAAATGTATTAATTTTGTTTGTAGACAACTAACTACTTTTAACTGTAACTGAAAGCCTGGACAATTTTTGGCTGGTTGAATTGTAAAAATATTAATTTAGATTCTTCAAAAAAGAAACTCCAAAGTTAATTTTGAAGTTTTTGAATAAGAAACAGTTTGAATTGAGGTCTACATGTTAACATTAACATGTACTTAAGTTGGAAACTTATGTCCAATCATTTTGGTGAATTGTCAATAACATGGGTTTCTTTCACACAGAAAAAGGAGAGAGATAATAACAGGGAGGAAACTTTTGATTTGTAATTATTGAGTTGTACTTGCAGGTGCCTGCTTTAAGAGCTCAGGATTTGACCTTGATCTCCCAGTTCTCAGATGACCCTGACACTGGATTACAGAAGTTAGAAAAAGTAGGTCAAAGTATAGAACTTAAAATGTGTATCATGTGAGCAAAATTTATCAAGTCAGAAAAAGTCGGTCAACATGTAGAACTAGGAAAGATAATCATGTAACAAAGGAAAGAACCATTTTTGGCTATTGTATAAACGAAAGTTATCAAGGTGAATTCTACAGTCTTTTTATCCTGCTTTAACTATGCAAGTCATCTTTTCTAATGTCACAGGGCACAAGATATACTTTGGAGTATCTCATAAAGATAGTTGAAAAACTGAAACCAATGGACAAGCTCACAGAAAACAATGTCATGGAGAAGCTCCTGTCCTACATGACCCATCAGTGGGTCACTGTATTGGAGTCGTCTACAGCTGGCAGTATAGACAGCTGGTCAATGTCTACACGGAACAGTGACAGTGTGGACGAAGACCATCACTGGGGGACCATGAAATACAGCATGTCCACAAAATTATACGCCTTTGTCAGGAAAATCCAGCAAAATCTTGCCAAGGGTGCAAAGAGCTGATTGTGGCAGCTATGTTTATATTTTTTTCCTTTACTGGGTCACCTGAGTCAAGTGACCTATTGCTATCTGTTTTCAGTCATCATCAGGTGCCATTCTTCATTCAAGAATTTTTTAAACCCTTTAGCTTCTTTTCTTGAACCACAGAAATCAATTTCAATTAATTTTGCATAAAGCATCTATGGATGGAGGGAATTTTAACTTCTCCTTCAAATAAAAAAGATTAATACAAGAATTTTTGTGTGTAATGCAAGTATGATGGTCATGCAGATAGACTTTAAAATTGACAAAAAACTAGATCTATGTACATTACCTGCTTTTCAAAGACTAAGAGAAAGTTACATGATAGATTAATAGGCATGTTGTTTGGCCAGCATGGTGTTAAAGACAGATGTCTGTGTACTGAACAAGCAGTGGCAAGTAAATAGATCTGCCTGCTTAATGACTTGTTACTAAGTACTAGGTTAACTATTTTATTCACCTCCTGATCATTCTAGTTTTGGACAACATGTCTTTTTCCGATTATCAATAATTCTATGGATCCTTTACAGTGTTGTACTTTACACTGTTGATCAGTTTTTATTATACGTCTATGGATCCTTTACAGTGTTGTACTATACTCAGGTGACCATTAGGTCCCTTTTTGGGGCCTCTTGTAACTTGCAACAATGTTTATAAGGTAAACAGCAATATAGAAAAGTGCTTCAGAAGGTCATTGGTTTGGTTGAGTGCATCACAGGCTCCTTTTTAATTTCTGTGAAAAGTATAAAACAAAAATTTTTGAATGTAAGAAAAGGAGCTAGATTCTGGCATGGATGGTGAAATTTTTTATTTCAGACATTTAATTTTTTTTGTAAAGGCAAAGTCAGTCGTCCCCTAGTTACCTTCTTGTTATTCCCCCTCATTTTTCCCGAAAACTCCCGATTATAGACAAATCATGTTTTCTTAGAGAATATTACGGTACTTGTTTCTCTAAATGTAAGACAAGAATGTATTTTAAGTACTGCATTGAATTGAGTTCAGTGTATGAAGAATATAGTTTGATAGTAAAAAAATGCATAATATGAATGCAGTAGTTCTAATGTGTAATAATGAATCTCTAATGTACTTAATAACAAAATTACATCTGCGCTAATCAATCTTTTTAAAATTGAAGATAGCACACATCTTGTTGTTTTAAAAAGTACTCATATGTTATTATAAGTCAAATAGCCTTTTATGCATTTACACAAAAAAGGGACATACAGTAAGCAGTCAGATTTTCACAATATCCTCAAAACACTTCATGTCAAATCACTAACAGAGACTTTTTTAGTTTCATTTTCTTAGTATTCCTTTTAAGGAATAGATTGAGAGTCTAGATGATCTTCCAGTGTTACTAAACTGTTTTATGGTTTGAATATCAAATATTATAATGTAAATGTAATTTATTTTTCTCACGTTGTAATATTTGTAATCTATGGTCCGTCCATTTTGTTTTATGTTTTATTCTTCTTGTTTTGAAGTTACTACTGAGAATCAAAATAAATGGATATTTTGAGATTATATTTTTATTTGTTTTGTACACCTGCCTTTTCACAGGGATAGGACGTATTATGTCATACCCATAATGTTCGTCTGTCTGTGTGTTAGCATTTTTGTGTCTGGCTCATGACTTTAATACTATTAGGCTTAGGATTACCAAACTTTGTCACCTGATGATTTTGGGTAAAAGTTGTATCATCCATAAAAAGTAGGCCAATCCGACCTTTAATGAAGATGCTATGGCCAAATATAGAAAAATCATGTCCAGCTCATACCTAGAAAACCTAGAAACATCATACTTAGCCAATTTATGCATCTTAGGTACATGTAGAAGGTGAGTCGCACCCTTTTTCAAGGTCACTATGACTCTAAGTGAAAGTTTCAGAAGACTATGTCTTAACTTTAAAATTATGCAATCCAAAAATATGTTAAAAGTATAGCATTATCCTGAAAAAATGTTATATCATGAAGAAAAGAAAAAAAATTATTCATATACTTTACACCAATCTATAATAAAATGTAATTTTTTGACTGGCAAGGTTTTATAAGGCTTTGGACAAATGCTGCTTCAAATGAAAACAAAAGTATGTCTGCTAATTCCAAGCGCAATTAGTACCCATGGGAATTCCAATAGATTGTTGGATGACCTGGTCTCCAAAATCACAAAGATATTGTCAGTCAGAAACTCAAGCATCTTATTTTTATCAACTTCAGAGTATTTGTGTGTGCAATCAGAATCCTGATTATTGCAGATTACCACGGAATTTGGAAAGTTTATTTGAGTTCCATTTATACAGAGAAAAAAAAGCAGTGAATTGGGGGGAAACATGGTAGCGACTAACCCCCCTCCTGTTTCTCCTATTCTTTTAGCTATTTAACAGGGGATCATATCTATACCATGATCCTATGTTGACTAGATTAAATGTCTGGAGAATAAAATAGGAGCGTACAAGACATGGAAAATCCCCCACTGAGAGTTAATATACTTTGTAATTATCATTCAATACATTAAAAATTATGTAAAAGTTTAATTCAAAAGGAAAAATCATTAATATCAATTTTAATAATTTTTATTCATCTATTTTATTGAATATGTGAAAAGAAATGTATTATTATCACTTGCCTAAGATCAAATTTCTTAAAGTTTTATAACTTTTTATTCAAATTTTTATTTAGGTGGGTATTTGAAGAATATAAATGAAAAATCGATCTATTACAGCTATTAAAATGATTTTTGAAGTCACACTTTTACATAAAAATTGAAGGACGGAAAAAATGAATTTTATTTTTCATAAACGTGATTTTAACCCTATCTATATAAAAAATAAAAAGAATAAAACAAAGTTTTATGAGAAAACTGCGAAGAGTACTGTCTAATATTATGCTTCACCGTTAGCTTTGGGGTATTACCGTATAAGTAGAATTTTTAGCGAGGATTTAATTTTGGCATTATTAGCGAGGGTCCTGAGATCGCTAAAATCAAATATCGCTAAATATTAATTGCATTTTATTTATAATAGCTTCCTTAGGAAGCATTTTAAAATCGCTAAAATTACCTCTCGCTAAAAATAAATTACCATTTTTTAAGGAGAAATCGCTAAATTTGCGTCTCGCTAAAATTTCCACTTATACGGTAGTTCAAATCATACTTGAGACTGTAAATATTTTTAGTTTTAAAACAGAACTAAAAAAATCACCCACCCACCCCCCAATGTTCAAAAGATAATAGTCTCACACACCCGGCATCATGGTTATCGCCGCGAAGGAAGGGGCTGATCTTTGCGTCGCAATCTTGTTTTTGTCACAGGCACCAAGATTGCATGAATTTTTGATCGATTGATTGTATGTTTTTTACGTCCCATTCGAGAAATTTTCCCTCATGTAGAAACGTTTACCAGTGAAGGGTTTCAAATTTTGAACTTTACTCGGCACTCAGGCAGTGAGAGATCTTTATCGTATCAACGCCCGCCGTGACACGGGACCTCGGGTTTTCAGATCGCATCATCCGAAGGACCCACAACTTTCACTTCAAGTACCGAGCGCACGGCGAAGGGACAGTTGCTATATCCATTTGTGATCGACTTAGGTCAGTCACAGCCGAGATTCGAATTCACGACTTCCCGATGGCGGAGCGGGCGCTCTACCGAATGAGATACGGTATTCCCATGTATAAATCATAATCAAATTTTAATGTTTATTTTCATGCCAAGAGCTTGTTTTCCAGAAGATAGAAACATTTGGCTTGAAAAGATAACAACTCCTTTGAGAAACTTTAAAAATGTATTAGGTAAAACCTCAAGGTCTTTATAAAATTATTTTGATCGTGTTGATGTGAAAAATCGTGTCATTTTTCTATGACATTTATTCAGCATCTTTTGAGCATATACACAATCCTTGACATCTATTAAACATCTAATGAAAATGAACGTAGGCCTTGAAGTAGTTTTATTTATATCAGATGAGTTGTGGGGAAGTCAAGGATCAAAATGGTAAAGCAATAATGAAAGTGGTACAGTATGAGTCATAACAATTGCAACATGAAAGAACTAACAAAAGTGCGTAGGATTCAATATTTGGTATAAATGATGAACAAAAAGCATTGATACAATTCCTTTTACTGTTGACCCATTTTGGATATATTAAAACGTAATCAAAGAGAAAAAAGTCTTTCACCATGGTCATTAATTTGACACTTAATTGTATCTTAATTTTTATGATTATTCGTTCACTCATACTAGTATTCCTTTTCATGGTATCATGATGAATCGATGTATCGCATTGCCTAGTGTACACAAGAGTTCCTAATTAGTCGATGTATCCCATTGTCTAACACAGGGGCTCATAATTAGTCAATATATCCCATTGTGTAACACAAGGGCCCCTAATTAGTCGATGTATTTCATTGTCCAACACATTAGGGCTCCTAATTACTCGATGTATCTTATTGTCTAACACAAGCTAGGGCTTCTAATTAGTCGATGTATCTCATTGTCCAACACATTAGGGCTCCTAATTAGTAGATGTATCTCATTGTGTAACACAAGGGCTCCTAATAAGTCGATATATCCCATTGTCCAACACATTAGGGCTCCTAATTAGTAGATGTATCTTATTGTCTAACACAAGCTAGGGCTTCTAATTAGTCGATGTATCCCATTGTCTAACATATTAGGGCTCCTAGCTAGTCAATGTATCCCATTGTCTAACACATTAGGGCTCCTAGCTAGTCGATGTATCCCATTGTTTAACACATTAGGGCTTCTTATTAGTCGATGTATCCCATTGTCTAACACATTAGGGCTCCTAATTAGTCGATGTATCCCATTGTCTAACACAACGGCCCCTAATAAGTCGATGTATCCCATTGTCTATACAAGCTAGGGCTTTTAATCTGCTTCATGGTTTTTTTTTAATTTTTTTTACCGAGAAACATTGCTGGCAATCTAATATCAAGATTTTATGATAAAAGAGTCAACGTCAACTTCTCTTTCGTCAATTTTCCTTGATGACGTAACCTTATATTCAATTTTCATCGGCATGTCAAGATTATGTGTCTCTAAGATGCTTCAATATACAAAGTCATGTGTTAAGTTTGCATAAAACGGAACAGGCTAAAAATTAAACTGATGATGAACATATAGACGCTATTGGTAAAAATAATGAACGCTATAATCAACCTAAGATATCAAGTAAAGGAAAACAAATTATTCACAGGTTAATATACTGACTTCTTGAAAAAACTAACCGGTAGAAGTTAAAAGGTCCCCCAGAGGAGTAAATATCCCCTGTCGACGGTAAACACTCACCGTGAGCCCTACATTTTATGTATGTTTTGATAATATATAAAACCTAGACGAGCTTACTTTTAATCTCAGTCTCACTTTTCCACCATATATTCCTTTGGTAAAAGTGAGCCTGAGATCAAAAGTGAGCTCGTCTAAGTTTTATGGCCCCCAGGCCTGGTTAACTCCTTCGGTTCTTTAATTTTTTTTCACTCAAACGCATGTAAATTGACAAACAAAATAAAGTATACCGTTACATCTAATGCAGTGGGTCAAATAAGAGGGTATTCGAATTCTGATAGAGGGAGAACAGACTAAATAATAAAATAAAGTAATTCTAGTAAATTATATAAATATACACTTTGTAAAATTTCAGCATCTTTTGACCAAGAATTTCTTTTGAAAGGCAACATTTTTGCAAATGTTTCCTATAAAATGACCTTAGTAACAATATCAATTTATCTCAGGTCAAATATCATGATTCATGTCTTTTGGTATGAATTGTAAGCAAATTGACAATGAAATATGGTAGATTCTTTTTAAATTTTCCCGATCTTGTAAAATAGTGTACGCAGCTTATTTGCACTCTTCGTTGGATGTGACTGATTTGTCAGTGATTTTTTACTTTCTTACTATTTTCCTATGTTTAATTTCCTGTTCCTGCTGATAATAGATGTATATTAATAATGATTTAAGATCATGGTTTCTTTTCCCCCAATTTAACACCATAAACATCGTAAAAAAGATAAATATAAAACCATGATCATGAAGACTTTTAAACAGAAATTAACCACAAGAACAATGCATCTCAAAGCCATAATTACATATATTATCTGTATAAAATTTGTGTTCGTGCTTGTTATCGGTTAAATGGATTTTCAACTTTTTTAAACTGAGAACATGGCTTTCTTGTACATAAACATCTCCAACTCCCAATTATCAGCAATTTGGTTCAATATCAACTCCCCACTAGAATTAGTTCCAGGAAATAAGAAATGTTTTCCACGGATTATTTAAGATTTACCTCTATTTGTCTATATAGAGTCCTACCTGGTATATGATTGTAACTAAACAAAAGTTTTAAGGATCGAGTTTGAATTATTGCGCTCACGCGCAGGGTGTAAGATTAAAACTTGATTCAATTTTCAATTACTTATCTTATTAACGAGGGCTGTTCAATAAATAATGTCCTGAACTGTATGACATAAATACAGATATCATATGACATTCAGCT